ATTGAAATCCGGAATCCAAGTTCCACTGACAAGCAAACTGGAATCCTGGATCGCATTAACTTTACTTGGGACGAGTCCTAAAAATTGGCTTCTATTTATTGTAATAGACCATTGTAAATGGTGATTTCAATTACCTCTAACTAGCCAGGCTGGACGTCCCACCTTATAGATCGTTTTCAGTCACGTGGTCGGCAGCTTTGCAAATTGCTTTGAAAAAAAGAAAGTTTTAACATGTGAAAAGAGTTCAATTCCCATAGGATTTTTTTTGTACACAAACACGGACCGCCGATTCAATGTTTCGTACACAAATATGGCCGCCCTGACGTCATGTGAAAACGATCTATAGCATAGTTAATAGAGAAGAATGGTTAAAAAGCCCGTCGGACTTCCTGATCGCAGGTTAGACGGTGCACAACGTTCAATACCGTTCCTATCATTTTCTATCTTATCGACCAATAAAAATGTCGCATTAATTAATTCAGTCACAATTTGTGAACAAAAATCAAAGGATTGTGCTCCATCAGGGAGCTTCCAACATAACACTGCAGCACCGTCCTTCATGACAAGTCTCCTCTAATAATTATGCTCATAGTTTACGCCTACAGTTACATTAGATAGATTAAGATTCACGCTTAGGCCAAACGGCAAACGTCAGGTTCAAAATGTGAATTTCTCAGAATAGAAAATAAGCAGATAAGAACTGTCCAGAACAATTCTTATGTATAAAACTGGCCTGAAACTACTTATTTTTTAATTGAAGTAATAAACAGTTAACGACAATTAAGGGAAAAATTTGGTCACGTGGCACAAATTCACGTTTGCCGTTTGGCGTAAAACGTGAATCTTAGTCTCTCTATTAACTGTGACTCAACTTGCCCCTGGCTTGTTGTTGTTCAACAGAGAGTTGCTGTACAGTGAATATGTTGTGGTTCAGTTTTATCTTTGATTATATTTAATTGTGTGTACTTCTAATCTAATGTTATCTCATTCTTAAATGAGGATTCTTTTGGAAGTAACTAATTTGTTTAACTTGATTTATCAACAGTGGCTAACAAGAAAAGAACAAAGCTTACTCATCTAGCTTTTAACCCTGAATACCCAGTACTTATTGTGGGAGACGACAGGTAATTTTGTTTCTGGTGATATTGTTTGTGAACCAAACGCGTAAATTTGAGATTGCGCTTTATTCTACTGTATAAACTAATATATCTTGCAAACAAACCGATTTATTATTGTGAGAACGTTATACGGTCAACTGTCATCTAATACGGAAACTTTTTGAGACCGGCAATAAGTGTCCGTCTTAGAGTAATGTCCGTCTCATAGAGAGTCAAACAAAGGGAGTAAAGAAATGCCAGCCCGTGTAGTTTTTGCCCTGTGGAATGTGGAATTCTGGCCTTTGGAATCCGGAATCCCACTATGATTTGAATCCACTCACAAAGAATCGGAGATCCAGTACCTGGATTACCGGCGTGATAACCCACACGGGATGTTGGGAGAACACGAGAAAAGCTTGTAAATCACTCGCCCTCGGGCCTCGGTTCGTGATTTACAAGCTTTTCGAGTCACAATAAACCATGGGTTTTTAACCAATCAGAACGCGCTTACTATCTTAGTTATTTTATAAATAATAATATAATATCTCTTCTTCTTCGGCAGGGGGCACGCGACATCTTTGAAGTTATCACCAAATCTAAGGAAAGCGACACAGCCCAAGGTATTCCTTTGTTGCAAATAAATGCGAATAATATTGTTCCCTTTGGTGTCCGTATATTCAAGTTTAAGTTTATTTCAGTATTTAAGAGGAGAATTTACAAATTAATAATTTATATCACGAAAATATTGTGGTTAAGAATACTAACTGGCGGGAGGCAAACCGTTTGAGTCAGTATTAGCGTGGCCGAGGAGTTAAACTGAGGACTGCCAGAACAAATCAAGCTAGCGTTGGGGTTAGCACTCAAAGCGGGACCTCTGAATAACACGCGGAACGCGCCGTCTACTCGGCTCAGCCTTGCTGCTTCCTAACACCATGCACAATAAAACTCGATTCATCTTGTCCTCATTCCCTAACGCATGCACGATATCACCCAATAGAAGATACTTGAATTATTTCTTTTTTGCCTTTGATGTTATGCATGTAATCATACTAATGTCTTCAATCACTCACTTTTGTTCTTGATCCTTCATTCTCACTTTAAGGAGGAGATTCCTCTTCTTGTTCTCTCACAAGCTGCAGACTCTGATGAAGAACCCTGTTCACCGCCTCCCATACTCTTCTCTCCTGTACGGAACTTCTTTGGTGGTTTACGGTCAAGTCGCCCGAAAGTTATCTGGCCGTAAGTCACTTCGCCCGAAGTCATTTCTGGCGACATAACTATAAATTTCTGGCGACATAACTCTGGTTTCGGGCGACATGACTTCGGGCGCGATGACTTTCGGGCTACTTGACCGGTTACCTCTGTGGTCACAGTAAACTTGATCTCTATCAACTTTTCTGTCTGTTGCTCTAATAGATTCTTTAATGGTCTTTAAAAAAAAATACTCTCTAATACTACGTAACGGCTTTACGTTTTTCTAAGCTAACAGAAATGAAGCCTAATAGTTCTGGGCTTCACACTAATGATACTTCGGATCATACTCTTGATACATCATACTCATTCATTTCTCCCTACTTTACCTGAGTGCGGTTTAGTACTGGAACAGCTTACAGCTTCATATTATTGGGCTGTCCGTGAGGGCAAAGCCCATTCAAGCAATACCTTCCATCTATGTCGAAAAAAGACAAACTAGCGGACGGAACTCCTAGAAGGCCTCGCGTGTCCCATTTCCCCTTCAATAGGGCCGATTTTTGTGGGGAGGGGACGGGTCATTTCAAAAATAATGCCAATCGTCTCTTCTTTCAAAAGGCTAACTTGCCTATACAGCTCCGATTAAAAACGCGCAGTCGACAGACCAATGAACCCTATTATGGGGTTCTTGTTTTAACAAAGACGAACTCTTCTTTTAATCCCTTACACTTTTTAAGTTAACGTTTAACTTAACTTTTTCAATCGCGAAACTGCGCATTATTTTATGTCGCCTTCTTTCTCACTGGCATTTTATTTCATGTATTTCATGTTTCCTCTCTTTGTCATTTACACTGAATAACAGTATTTTTAACCACGCCATTTTTCTGTTTCTCGAAAGCAATCTTTTTCAACCAATCAAACATGGTTGGCTGTTGAGGTCAAATATTTCATTTGCTTCCAACCGATATTCCAGTGTAGCAATGTTTCATATCACACCCACCTCTCTTTAGCATCATTTTTATTTAGCCCCCCTTGGCGTACTGTTTTGATATCTAGAAATTCTTCGGCAAGACATTAAACAATACTGCGCGATGTGCGGGACTGATGTGCAACGTTTTTTCTCTGTTTCAGGAAAAAGCTAAAGGACCCGAAAACGAAATGGCGAAGATGGAGAAGCTCTTAAGTCTTGTTAGGGAACCTTCTGCCAAGAACTGAATGACTGTTGTTGCATCCGCTTCAAAAAAAGAAGATAAAACAAAAATATCTTATGCACGCGTATCGAGAAATACTTACGATGTATAAAGTCATTCCACACGTTGTATAAATCTGTTTGTTTAGGATTTGTCTTGTTTTCGCACACGACTACACGAAGCCAAAAATGGATCTTAGCAGGTAGAAACAAATGACTTCAATAATTGCTCTGTCAGCTTTATTTTGCATTCTCTTAGTTTGTGCCGCAAAAATAGCTGCCACATCTCTTGTGTAAATATTTTAATGGTGTAGCCATTCGAAGAGAGATTGCGAGATGAATTAATGGTATTTTATCATGTGTACTGTTGAATTGGTGTCTACATGTATTATTAAATATTAAAACAGCTTTTTTACTCCCATTTTGCATGTTTTTAATTTTTTCCTCTTCAGTGGCCATAATATTATATGTTATCTGTTGCGGGTTTTTGCGCTTTTTTGTTGGCATGCGTTATGCTGGTCGGGTTAATGGCCATATTTGACTTTGTTGCGGAACAAACTGCGAACGATGACTGTGCAAAGGTGCAGCTTGTACGAAAGAAATCATCTTCAGCGTTTGTCAAGACTGCCGCACTTCAACAAGTTGTGACTTGTTGAGCGGACATCTCAATTGTCTCAAAGTTAAACATGTTGTTTCATCGTTTAACGTGACATGAAGCGGTGAAGTATTTGTTGTTCACAAATAAAGGACGTTGCAGTTGACGTTAAACCACGTATCATGGGGCTTTACCAAGAAGCATCTAGTGTGTTCAAGTACTTAGAACTGACAGTGAGAAAGTGGTGCAGATATTTCTCCTAATGACTAAGTCTTTTCTGATGGAGTAGACAACAGGACGTTCCACTAACCTTCTCCGAGTTTTCTGTTTTCTTCGACTTCTACTGTCACCTAAACAAAATGGGAACTTAAAGTCATCGTGAGCGTTGTTCTACCAGTCAAAAGTTTTCGTCTGATCGAGAAATCGGTTTGCATTATGACGAAATCTTTGAGGGAAGGCGGCGCGCGCTTTCATCAGCCAATCCGAGTTTGTTCTCCTGACTATACGCACGCGCGTGCAAGCCTGTTATACAGGAAGAGCCAGGGACCTGTCTTTAGGGCGTATCCTGTGAGTGTAAATGGCCTTCTGTGGACATGGAATCTCCTGGGGGAATTGTCGTCGTCCTGTACTCAACAACAAAGACTGTTCAGAGATTTGCGGCTTTTGTAGTTAGCGAAAAAAATTCCCCTTACGATTGACTTGATTTTGTTGCCTGTGTGCCAGCGCCCGTTAAGCTTTTTGATTAGTTTTAATAGGACACCATTCTTATTAATGACAGCGTCTACAATGAAGCACAGGGTTCATTTTTCGTTTCGCGTCATAGTTAACCACCAAAAGGGTAATTTATTTGCTAGTTAATCACTGGCATTCATTTTTCATTCCGGGGGACTGGGAATCGTCATTTGTAACCAGTCAGCGGTAATGACTTGTGAAAACAAAATGGCGACCCGGACAGGTGAGCGGGAAAAAAGAGCTGGTGTTGTTTACTTGGAAACGGACGGATATTAGCTGCAAAAAGTGAATTTCTCTTAATTAATGACTACTACTTTGCTTTAATCTGTGAGACCACAGCTAAAAACTCCCATGGAGGTGCGGTTGGTGCGAAATACCGAACAGACAGAAGGGTACATTATAATTAGACTTTTTCAGCTCGGGCCGTAGCGTCCCAGACATCGTGATGAGTAAGCTAAATTTGACTTTATACGAGTGTCTTCAGCAAGTTTCATTAGAAAAGTACCATGGCAAGTTTACTGAACGTGGAATTTTGGACGTTGGTGGTTTGCTGTCGCTTACAATGCAAGATTATCCTGCCTTGGGTATTTCCTCAATGGCGGACCGACAGAATCTTTTCTACTTGATTCAGACTATAAAGACAATGCAGGTGTCCTCTTCCCAGAGAGGGCTGTTACATAATGGAACGGATAATGAACGTTTGGTGCCGATGGAGGGGCCAGCGGTAGAGAATAAGAAAGGTATAATATTAATATTGAAACAAACAAAGTGCATGAGGAAATTAGCAGAGGGTAATTCCATTCCATTCCATTCCCCACTCTCCGTTTAGCGTCACCCGACCGACCCAAAATTTTGCATTTCCAATTAACAAAAAAGTAACGACGTAGCCACCATTTTTCACTTGAAATAATTCTTTTAATCTTAAAAATGAGCATAGTAGAGGCCCTGCCGAGGTAAATTCCGACAAGCGACAAGGCCCAAAAAGTGGTGACAGTGCGTAAAATGAAATCGAGACAGGAGACAACCTCCCTCGGCCTAATTGCGACAGTGACAGCAAAGCCGACAATAAGCAACAAGCACTTATAAACACCGATACGGGACATTTTAAAATTCAGACATGCGACATGGGACCCCCCCTCCCCCGGCATGGCCTCATAGTAACAGCATAGAGAAAAACTGGAACAACAACAGGAACATTTTTTACAGTATATTGTGCATTTTGTTAATCCAAATATGTAAATGTTAACTTTAAATGTCATCCTGGGGTACCAGGGCCTCCTATTCTGAGACTTCTGGTGATTTTTTTTAGGTTTTTTTTTTTACAAAATCCGACTGACCGACCCAATATCAGGAAACGCATTCAACACTAAACGAATAAAAAAAGGGGATGCCCTAAGAGATATGATGTTCACCCTCTTACTGAAAGAAATAAAAGTTAAAGTAAAGGCCAGGGCTGTCCGTAAGATTTTAAGTTGCCAGGTACATGCAATAAATTAGTCGCTAGGAAATTGAACAGGTAGGAAATTCTTTTGGCTCTTTTTTCCTTTCTTTCCTTTGGAAGTAGTTGGGGGTCTTGCACATAGCAGCTGGGGGAAATCCCCTGACCCCGCTTTAGTGACAACCCTGGCAGACACCCCCTTCAGACAAAAGGAGTTGTTCTCAAGAAATTGAAAGTCCCAACATACCCAGCTACCTATTTCTTCCTTTATGGCAGTGAAGGAGGTTGGGGGGTGGGGGTATTAAATGGGATGTCTTATCGGGGAGGGATAGCTGAAACTGATTAAAATAATATTGAATCGAAAAGTTGCAATGCTACAAGATTTCCTTAAGGTAATTCCCTTGTTTTGCATTACGCATCACCAACTACACATAATATTGCAACTTCAAAGGTGGTGGTAATTTTCACTGGTTGTCTTCCGCTCGATTTCACCATCTCCCGGGTCCAGTCTTTGATCAAAAAGAGGAAACAAAGGCTCCTTTTGTAGTCCAAATGCTTTTAATAGCGATTTTGATAACTATACCCGGCTAAAATGGTGTTATTCTCCTCAATCCCTTCAGGCAAAATTATCATGTGAAGCCAAAATTGCCCCTTTGTTGTCTTTTTGCAATGAAACAAGATTGGTGACTCCCCTTTTTTGTTTGTGTTTTCCACTCATTATTGCTACACAAAAAATAAATCTTAACCCATTCGCTCCTGGAGATTTTGCCGAAAAATGCGTTTTGAAGCTAGTCGAGTGGTTTTCTGGTCACTGTCGTGCTATAAAGGGCTAAAACTTACCACAAACCGGTTTACAGGTCGTACACTTTGCGGCCTTCTGATCCAGATGCAAAATATTAGCTTGCGAAGTTCGGGCATGTGCAGAAAGCAAAATTTTGACATAGTTTTTGGGTTTAAAAGTGACACAGCAGTCTTGACTTTTACTTTTCGCTTTCTCTCCTCCCTTCTTTTTTTCACTTTTCTTGCCTCATTTTTTTTTCTCTTGCTGGGCATTTAGTAGGCTTCAATTTAGTGGGAAGAGTTTTTAGGAAAGCTTTTAGGATCTAAGGATTAGGTGAAAGGAAAGGTAGGTGGGTAATGGAACAAGATTTTCATGGAGATTTTCAGGTCAATGTCTCATGGTTTTTTGCTTCTTTCTCCGGTGTCCTTGATTGAATTGTGCTCATTCTGGTATGGTTTGAAAGATCTCTTCACTCTACACAAGTTAGCGAAGAAAGTTGTCCTTGACCGTTAAATCTGATGACGTCACAAAGGGTAGAAAGGACCTGGATCCGCACGGGCGGTTACGGGCGGTTCAGGGGTGAATGGGTTAAGGAAAAAACAAATCTGGATAGTAGAAGTTATAAATTTTAAGATATGAATTATGTTAAACTCCACATTTAGGGCCACAGAGAAGTACAATAATGTTAAAACTAAACTGTCTGTTTCTCTCCATTTTTTCAAGATCAGGTAATTTTAAATCATTGTACTGAAACATTATAGCCCAGACAAACCAACGGGTCGTAGGTTTTAGTCAAATTCATAGTTTTTGCTTTATGGTAAGATTTTTTGACAGGTGGTCAAGCTCTGAACATTTTGCAAGCAACAGGAAAAAACACTCAGAATTATGGGCACAAAGGGCAAAAACAAGCACGGTGACCCCAACCTTTTATCGCAGTTTTTGAATGTCCTATAAATGGCTGACAATTGTGCCAAGTTTGAAAAAAAACTGGATAGTACATCCTTTTCAAGGGAATTACCTTAATTCCAAATCTAAATTGTTCCTATTGTTTATAGCATGGTAACAGTATTTATTTATATAAATTATTTATATTTTAGACAAGAAGACAGGTGCAAAGAGACCACGAGAGGCTACAGAAAACAGCCCAGTAGCCATCAAGATAAAATCAAAAACAAAGGACAAGTCTTGTGCAAGTTCTTCAAGGCCATCCACTATGTCAAGGTAAAAAATAATGTTGTAAGTTAAGCCCATTAAAATCAAATGGGAAGAATTTTACAGTGGATGTTGCTTGTTCAACCATACTAATCCCATTTAATCATGTCTCAGATCAACAGAGTATGCTGCAGGATTTTACAACTACGGTGTTCCTAGTTATAAACCCAAACAATCACCAATCAAAAGAGTCCATTCAAGATCAGATTTGGGTCCGTCAAGAATACAAGTGTGTGTTCGTAAGCGACCCCTAAGCAAAGCTGAGTTGATGGGCAATGAGGAAGATGTAGTCATGGTGACTGATAAGAATACAGTTGTGCTTACAGCACCAAAACTTGCAGTGGACCTAACAAAGTATACTCAAAAGGTACAATGCCCTTTAGATAATAATGGAATGATTAAAATCATTACCAAATTATAAGCATGGGAACTGTTGCCTTAAGAAGGTAGCTACAAAAGGCCTGAGGCACCCTAAACACAGCTATATCCATGGTAATTACCCTAATTACCTGACTTGATACTCCATACAGCAGTAGACAGCCTCTTGGAAGGGGAGGGTGAGGATTGAGAATCCACAAAGATTTGCTAATAGGAGTGATGCAGTGTTCTTGAACAAATTTGTATAGGTAATAGCATGATTTGTAGTGATATTTGGCATAAATACCACAAGTGATATTTCAAAATTGTTATACATAATTTCACGAGCCGTTAGGCGAGTGAAATTTGACACAATTTTGAAATATCACGAGTGGTATTTATTCCAAATATCACGTTCAAATCATACTATTATTTGTTTATACTACTACCCGCAAAGGTTTTGTAATTTTCACATGTAGGTATTTCAAATTAAGCTGAAATACCACTGCTCTAAGCCAATCAAATTGCAGAAATTTCTCATGTAGTAGTATAAAGACTGAAATAGGGCCATTCAAATACCTGCGTCATGAACTGTATAGTATTGTGTGGAACCTACACCTTTGTTTAGTGTTGTAGGTCTTCTGTGTACAAGACATCCGTCTAAACCATTATATATTGAAATATCTAGATTATAATGGCTTGTGCTCTTGGTTGCAATATTGAAAATGGAATGTTGCTGGCAGACTTGTTGCTTGTTTTGATACTCCTAGTTACTTATAGTCACTTCTAGTTGATCAATCTTCCACATTTTAATGCCTGTTGTTTTTTGTTTTCTAGTATCAGTTTGTATTTGATGAGGCTTTTGATGAACATTGCAGCAACAAAGATGTTTTTCAAAGAACTGCTCAGCCACTCATCAAGACAGTTTTTAACAGGTTTTTTATTTGACATTATTACAAGTACATCATACAATAAGAAAACAGTGTCACTTCCCAAACTTGTAGAAGGCCCCTAACAAAAGAGTTACTCATGACTGTATTGACTCATGGCTAATCGTTTAAGTCCCCAAAGTGACCAAAATCAATTTTCTCTTGTTAATTTCAATTCATTTAAACCAAGAGAAAAGGTTTTGAGAACTAACAAAATAATCACCGAAGAGAAAATGTTTTCATTGAAATTCACTCTACTAGTTCTTTGTGGAAATGTATGGAGATAACTCTACAAAATTTCTAGGTGGATTTAGGAGCCTAAAGGATTAATATCTTACCAGCCCATTCCATTATTTGACCTCTTTTTTTCCTCCTGCACTTACCTGATCTTTGAATTTCCTCTTCTACACAAACCTTGTTTACATTTTCCACCTTTGTTATCCTACATGTATCTCCGAGATTACCTGCTCTTCTCCTCCTTTCTAATAACTAAAAGTACCGAATGTTCTTCTTCCAGACTTCACCAACCTTGCTCCACCTGTTGCTTGCTTCACCTGTTTCTTTATCCCACTTACATTCAATGTTTAAATATGCTTTCCAAAGTCCAAATGTGCTTCCTTCTTCTCAGCCACAGGGTTCACACAGTCTCGAAAAGTCCTTGAAGTTTGGGGGAAGTCCTTGAAAAGTCCGTGAATTCCATTTTTCCTTGAAAAGTCCTTAAATTTCTATACAAATCCTTGAGAAGTCCTTGAATTTTCTTTAACTTCGAATCTCGTGGCCTGAAAAGTGTTTTTTTGCTGCTTTTTGGTTGTCCAAGACAGAATATGAATCATAGGTCAGAGAATTTAAAGGTTATTTACACAAAGTGCTCAATGTTTTGTGCAATAATAAGCTGTCAATTTAAGACAAGTGAACTGAGAAATGTAGAGAAGTTGGTGAAGCAAACAGTTCAAGCCTTAAAGCCTTATTAGAATAGACTGGGGATGTACATTTTTGTGTAATCTGTGAAATAATATATTCCCAGTAGGTGGTCCTTGAAAATCTAATGTGGTCCTTGAAAAGTCGTTGAAAAATGGTTGCAATTTTTTGTTTGAACCCTGACTGCCATCTACCTACCTGACACCGCTTCCTTCTACATCTCTTCCTACCTACTCCTAACAACTCCCTTTGGCTTTCAATCACTCTTTCTTCTTTCCTTCCTCCTCCCTTTGGTTAGTTACTACATGATTCCTTTAAGCTTTACCTTGTGTGATAGTTAACTTCTGGTGGTGATGCTGAGGTTACAATAATCATGTCACCAAACTTTNCAAATCCTTGAGAAGTCCTTGAATTTTCTTTAACTTCGAATCTAGTGGCCTGAAAAGTGTTTTTTTGCTGCTTTTTGGTTGTCCAAGACAGAATATGAATCATAGGTCAGAGAATTTAAAGGTTATTTACACAAAGTGCTCAATGTTTTGTGCAATAATAAGCTGTCAATTTAAGACAAGTGAACTGAAAAATGTAGAGAAGTTGGTGAAGCAAACAGTTCAAGCCTTAAAGCCTTATTAGAATAGACTTGGGATGTACATTTTTGTGTAATCTGTGAAATAATATATTCCCAGTAGGTGGTCCTTGAAAATCTAATGTGGTCCTTGAAAAGTTGTTGAAAAATGGTTGCAATTTTTTGTTTGAACCCTGACTGCCATCTACCTACCTGACACTGCTTCCTTCTACATCTCTTCCTACCTACTCCTAACAACTCCCTTTGGCTTTCAATCACTCTTTCTTCTTTCCTTCCTCCTGCCTTTGGTTAGTTACTACATGATTCCTTTAAGCTTTACCTTGTGTGATAGTTAACTTCTGGTGGTGATGCTGAGGTTACAATAATCATGTCACCAAACTTTCTCATTGTTTTTCCCAGTTTGTAACCTGCCCAAGATCAGGCATCATTAAAAATGTGAACATTTTTCTCTATAAGTTTCTTTTTTCTTTTTTGCTCTTTCTCTCCCTCCTAAATACATCTTTTGTTACAACTTGTGTACCTGTATTTTTTGTCCCTTAGTCAAAAGATTTTGAATATCTAATTTCAGGGGTAAGGCTACTTGTTTTGCTTATGGCTGCACTGGAAGTGGAAAAACCTTCACCATGCTGGGAAATGAGGAAGTTCAGGGAATCTACATCCTGGCAGCCAGTGAAATATTCACAAAATTGCATAATGAAACTCATGGCAAAGGATTGGGATTATGGATCAGTTTCTATGAAATTTATTGTGGACAGCTGTTTGACCTGTTAAATGGGAGAGCAAAGTATGTATGTGTTGGAAACCCAGAAAAATATAAGTTAGTTTACATAGGTGACCTTAAGAAAATGATCACTGTACAATTTGTGTCTACTACAGTACACGTGCATGCTTGGTTACATGGGAAGATTTCAGTATTCAAGATCAACAAAAACCGGATCAGATCAAACCTTGTAACCCCATGACAGCAGCAACCTTTGTCATTTTTAGTTACTTACAGGGATTGATCTGATCCAGGTTTTGTTGATGCGTATGATTTTCTTAAGCTGGTTCACACAGTAACAGCAACAAAAATGCGAAAGCAAAATGTAAGCACCTTGCTTGCTGAGATACATGCACTGGCCTTTAAGCCAGTTTTTTGTGAACAAAGAAAATACATTTTTGCATGTTCAAACTGCCTCAATGTAAACGCAAACACTAGTGGCTGTTCAAAAATGTCAAATGTTCCCTTTTCAGTATGCTTGCATTTGTATTTATTTTAGCAAAGCAAAACACAGCCTTTGATAGCAGTTGTATTACATATTTTCTATATGTTTTGCAGGTTATTTGCAAGAGAAGATGCCAATCACCAAGTGTGCATAGCTGGATTGACTGAGCGGCATGTTCACAATGTAGAAGAATTGATGGAGGTATAATAATGATAACAATAATACAAACTCCATAACTGGATGCGTTTGAGCTTTTACTGAGTATATACTAACTTGAAAAGTGATCTCCAAGATCATAACAAATTTTAACACCTGTTTTAACAACTGATGAAGTTGTTTCTGTGCAGGTTATAGAATATGGTGGGGGAGTACGAAGTACTGGAGCTACTGGTGTTAATTCTGACTCTTCAAGATCACATGCCATCTTACAACTGGATGTAAAAGTTATACACAATGAAGAACATGTTGGAAGGTATATTTTATCATTTTTCTTTTTCTTCTTCTTCTTCTTCTTCTTCTTATAATTATCATTATTATTATTGGAGTCGTGCTCTTTCCTCTTATGGGACCGTGTTCATTCCATGAAAAGTCTCATGGATTATAACTTGATGGATAGTGACCTTCTGAGTATGTGAGCAGTCACAAGGTGTACAATCTTCTGATGATCTGTTATTCTGATGTTTTCTGGGATCTTTCTGATGTAGTTTTCAGTCCCTTTCTTGACAAGCCCAAGAGCACCAAATACCACTGGGACAGTTGTTGTTTTAGTTTCCATGGTTTCTCAATTTCTATTTTGAGATCCTTGTATTTCGGAAGTTTTTCTACTGTTTTTAAAGAGGTGTTTTTTTCATTAGGGATAAACATATCAATGAGCAGGCAGGTCCTCTCCTCCTTGTCTTTTATTACCCTGTCTGGCCTGTTTGCCATGATCTCTTTGTCTGTCTGGACTGGCATGTCCCAGAGTATAGTCACTTTATTGGTAAATTGTCTTTTCTCTGTTCCAAAGAATTTTTAGTCCCACATACATTGCTGAAAGTTTATTGCCCTCTATACATGTTATTCTCACAGGTTTTCATTCATTGACTTGGCTGGATGTGAGCGTGCAGCTGATGTCACAGATACTGACAAGCAAACACGGGTGGAAGGAGCTGAAATTAACCAGAGTTTGTTAGCTGTATGTCAATAAGAACACATTCAATATTTTAATTTATTTTTGAAAAAAATATTCTCTTCTATGCATTTGTTAATATACAAAATAATTTCCTTGATATCTCGTTCTTTTTTTCAAGTTAAAGGAATGCATCAGAGCACTGGATCTGGATTCAAAACATACGCCATTTCGTCAAAGTAAACTCACTCAGGTAGCTATTAAATAATTTAATTCATTTTTAACCTCACTAACAATAGTTAATATTAATTAGCTGAATATTTTTCTACTAATTGGGCATAGTGGTTTTTTTATGTCAATGAATGAAATAGTTTTCTTACAAATATAAAATTTCATTTTCGCATGCTATAATTAATTTTTCTTTAATTTTCATCTCATTTTTTACACAGGTTCTGAAAGATTCCTTTATAGGAAACTGTCAGACTTGTATGATAGCCACCATATCACCCAATAAATCTTGCAGTGAGAACACCCTTAACACACTCAGATACGCTGACAGGTAAGCTGATATAAGTAGATACAGGATACTGGTAAGTTTTGTGTCCCCCACAAAAACAAGTGCCACAAATATTTCCCTGAGTGATTAGTTTTTTGTGATCCTTTAATAAAGCTAGTCTGTGTGCAAAAACATCCTACTCTAAAAAGTAATAAGAGGGCCAGCAGGGGAAGTTTGCATGGAGGCCTTCACTGTTTCTAGTGAATGTACGGACAGGGCTAGACCTGTTCAGACCACCTCCTCAGAACAGCCACCTCTTTAAAACCACCTAATAGTATGCATTTTCCCACTTATTTGTTCATTCTTTTGTTTCCTCATCTTATCATGTCATTGATAACCTCCACCACTGCCCATCTCCTCAGTATAAATCAGGTATATTTTCCAGTTGCAAGTTTCTTTCACTGGAATTCTTAACATAGAAACCTCTGAAATGATGATGCCAGTTCTCTTATCATATTGGCCAAAATTGTCAGTCAAAAAAATTGAGGTTTGGTTTTGTGTGTGTTGACTAATTCACCTCATTGACACATACTGTAGAGTGAAAGAGTTGAAAAAAGGCATACCAGTCACCTTGCCATCAGCTCCTCGACCACTGACTGTACCTGCAACTATGCCTGAAAAAGACCAGCTGTTCTGTGAAGACAAGAACAAAGCTTTACCAGGAGTGGCCAGAATTCAGGTATTCAAAAACATCCCTTGATGCATTTTATTGAATAGTAGTGAAAGTTCCAAAATTGTTAATTGTTTCTACTTTTTTCACACTAATTCTGTCAAACAACAATTTCTATTTTTTGTTCATGGTTCTTTGTAATTTGCATAATCAGCTGGGTATTTTTTTTTCATTTATTCTATTTTAACCATTCCCTGGCTTCAACTCCCATGAAGGCAAGAGCTAGTACAAAATATTATGTTTGAGTAAAGTGTAGTTTATTCATTTTGTTATTTTCAAAGTGTTATCCCAAGAGATCATTATAAAATAGCGAAAATCTCAAACATCATCAAAATATTCAAAAGATCATTTTGTAATGGAGCACATTAATGATATTTGTTTCTGTGTTGGTCATTTTTTAGGTTAATACTATTTTGGAACATCCCCAAGGCCCTCTAAGGAAGCTCAGGACTGGTAACAATGGAACTAATAAAACATTAAGACTTAACACTTCATCTTCCAACACAGTATTGTCACCTAGAGGTCAAGACTCTACAGCAGTAAACAATATACCAGTTGGTTCACCTGGAAACATTCTTGGTAGTAATACTAAAAAGGGATTGAAAGTGCTGTTACATACATCTAGACCTCAGACTTCACCAGATGTAACAACTGCAAAAACTCAAAATTTGGCAAGCAGGATGCAGAGCAAAACAAGGGCTTCAAAACAAAAGACCAGTGATAATTGTACAAAATCTAATGGATTGACTGAAACTTTGAAAGAAAAATGTGAAGAAATGCCACAACAGGTTCAGGCAACTTGTGAAGAGAGTGATAAGAGTTCAGACATTTTATTTGTATCAGCATCTAGATTAGGCAGTTATAATCATTTGCCAGAAGTGGTTCAGCAAGGCAACTCTACGGAAGAACTTTTTAAAGAGCATCAAAATTCTCAAAAGCTGTCCTATGCGGACAAGCAATTAAATGAATCTTCACCACCATCCAGAAACAATCGTTATGGTAGTGGTATCAAAACTAGACTTTCAAAGCTGTTTAGTAAAGGGAACACTTGTATGGAAGAGCCCAAAGTTGTTGAACCTCAAACAACTAGGAATGAAGTCAGAGCTCCTCGTTTGATTCCAATGCCCAGTGGAATTCACAAGCCCACCAGGTTCTGATTTTGTACTGTACAGTAACAGACTTACCTCTTGTGCTTTAAATTGTTAGACAGATGGGAATGACTTGTGTCAAGGCAATAGATATTACCATTCAATGCAAATTTTTCTTCGTTTTAATTGGCCTAGAGCCCACCTACTGTGTTTGGGCACAAGTAATATTCTGTTCATGTGTAAATGAAGTGTAAATGAAACCACGCTTTTCTCCTTCTTGTGATCGCTCTTGCATGAAAATGGTGGATCGCTTCGCTGACCAAAAAACAAACTTGGTGATCGAATAATAAAACAATTATTGACCTCAGTTATCACAAAATATCGTGATTTGTCAGTGTCTCGCAGATCAATCATTTGCCTCAGCCTTCGGCTTCTGCAAATAATAATATTATTGATCTGCTCGCCAGTGACAAATCACGATATATTGCTCAACCTGCTAAGTTTGCCCATTACAAATCCTGGAGAATTTTCATTAGAATACAATGTGTTGTCCTAATTTTGAAATAAAGGGTGCAGGTAATCATGAACTGTTTGATCAAGTTTGGAAATAGGCTCTTGCCTATCTAGAGCACTGTTTGATATAAAATAATAAGCAAGAAAGGCATTGAAATTGAAGTGACTATGGTATATGGTTACAGTCAAAGCCCGTTAATACAGACACTAAGGGGGCCATAGAAAGTGTCCATATTAACAGGGTGTCCGTATTAAGAGGGTTGAATTTAAAGAAAATATAATGGCTTTTTTTCCCCAAAGGCAAACCAAACTGTCTGTTATAATGAGGTGTCTCTATTAAGTGGGTGTCTGTAAAGCAGGATTTGACTGTATTTAATTATTATCATCTCCTCTTATTTATTCTTGAGCAGTTTTTGCAAATGTATCAGTAGCTTGCATGGTAGAGGTTATAAAATGCGGGTGGAGGTAATCAATTTTTTTTTTCGCTAATGTTTATCATACCTGCCTTAAACTGCACAGCAAGTTGGTTTTAGAAAACATTTCCAGTTAAGAAGATCTGTTGTTCATTTGGAATTTGCATAACCTGGTTGAAGCTGGTTTTGCACCCAAAGTACACAGCCGCATTTGTTTATTATGTAATTGAAAATAACGTAGTTAGGTCCTCTACAGCCTGATAGTTATTATTGTAACACAACTAAAGGTTTTTTCAGAGTGACCGGTCAACTGATACCGTATCTAATTTTTTTTATGCAGGGAACTGGTTCATATGTCTTTGGATTTTGGTGAACAAGACAGATCCCATCTGAGTCTTTCTCAAGAGCAGTTAGTGGCATCACACCACACACAGCTTGCTATGGTAACAGGGCTTTGTCAGGAGGAAATGGTGCTTTTAAAACAAATTAACAGTGGACAGGAGGTAGATGAATTATTTTTAGGTTAAAATCCTGTCTACAAATTATTGTCATTTGTTTTTAATATTTGCAATGATCTGAAGTTCTAGGAGGAGTTAGAAAATCTCTTATCATATTGCACTTTTGTTGTTACGAAAAAACAAACTTACTTAGTTTTCATGTTGATGTTCTTTCCAGTTTAAAAAATACCTTGTAGCTTATTAATTTTTACAACTTGCCCACTAGAGCACCCATGATTCAGTGGTTTAATTCAGGCTTCCTGCATTATACAATCAAACCCGCTTTACAGACACCTGCTTAATATGGACAACTCATTGTTATGGACAGTTTGCTTTGTCCCTTGGGAAACCCCTTACAATTTCTCTAAATTCAACCTGCTTGTAATTGTATTGTCATTTGTTTACCCACAGAGCACCAAGGAGCTCATAAGAACTTGTTTAAATGTGTCTGTGTGTCTTTCTATGGCATCCTCATTGTCTGTATGTTATTAACAGATGTTCCTCTAGGTTTTTTTGGTTGGGTGGCCACTTATTTAAGCAAATATAATGTGCACTAATTTTGTTTATAATTATTTAACATTACACAGGATTTTAGAGACTACATCAGGCAGTTGAATGACATCCTTACAAGGAAGGCAGCTTGTATTGCATCTTTACAAGAAAGGCTTTCTAAATTTCCTTCACAATGACTCTACAGGAAGTTAGTCAATAAGAAACAAGATTTCTTAAGTTAATTTAAATTTTTAAACAAAATGTTCTTTTTTATGGTTTGATTTTTTCCTGGTGTCTCTAATTTTAATGTCAGTCATTTTACAATTTTTTTTCTGTATAGTAAGACAAACACCAAACTCATGTTTGTTTAAAACTATACTTTTAAGATGTTCATAATAATAGTGTACAGTAAAAACCTCGATATAACGAAGGGCCAAACAACGGACTTGCTAAATAATTTTTGCTATAATGAGGTTTTGTTATATCAAGGTTCTTTTTCATATAATTTATTTTACTGTTACTGGATCATAGAGTATTGTTTGTTTTTCTGAGGACTTTGTTGTATAGAAACTCATTGTATCAAGGTTGCACTGTAAATGCAAAGAGTATAAAATCCAAAACATGCAGTTGTAATAATAAATTATTAGTGTATAGGTGTAATAAAAATTGCATTTGGAACTCTGTTAATACCCATCTCCCTAAAGCTGTCACCTCTCTTCTACAGCCTTAAACTGATGACCCAAATCCCATCTAAATAATTTGTTTAAACCTCATTGCAATCACCAAACAATGCCTCTGAGCTAAAATGAATCAAAGTGGACATAATTGGTTTGCACAAGCCTAATAGATGTAAGCAAGAAGCATGTATCACATTAATAATTATTTGAAAGAGAACACTAAAACTAAAATGGAATTCCATGTGCTATGAGCCATGGGATGTTTTTGAGCAAGCAACCAAATAATTATTTAAAACATCTTGTCATACTTACATGTAAAGAAGTGTAGTTAGGATGGTTTAAGAAAATGGTTCAGGGAGCAGTAGGGACCATTGTAAAAATATTTGTTTGTTTGTTTATTATTTATTTATTATTTACCATGTAAGTCCAGATTCAATACTGTTTGTATCATCAAGCAATCCTTTTTCTGATGATGATATGGCATTAACAAAAGAAACATTGATGCAGTCTGTGTATTGGAAATGGGATCATTGGTGGGATGTGCCCCAACCCCAGTAAAACTGCTCTCTCACTTAGCAAAATGTGCATTAAAGTTTAGCTGAATAATGACTAATAATGCTTTCTTGATTGTTCAGTGACTTCACACACTGATAAAGCTGCATTATCATACCGAAACACTTCACCTGAAAGGGCAGTTTGTAAAGTTATTTTGAATTATTAACTGAAATGCACAAATGACTATTAGTGGAATCAGCCAGTTTTGCCAGTTTTGAGTTTGTCCCATTCGAGTTCAACCCTTTATAAACACATAAATAATTACCTAATAATTATTCATTTGTCTGACCGTTTACATAGCATTAGGTATCGTCACAATAGTTAAAGCTATTTCATATTGGTTAAGTCACGTGTTAAAATCGGTTTTTACATTCACTCCTAAGTTTTATAGGGGTCAAACTCAAATCCGGCGAACACGAAATGGGTCAAAACCAAGTTAAATCTTATCTCATCTGCATGTATGTTCATCTTATACACAGTCTATATGTTGTTTGCCTTGGCCATGTCTTAAGGACAGGCCTCTAACAGCTTCAACATCTGAACAGACATAAAATGGTAAATAAATTTTATTTTTTGATGATTTCACAATTTGAGAGTCCATCAAAAATGCTCCTTCATTTATATATTTTACGGTAGTTATAGTCAAAACCGTTCTGCGCATAATTCATGTAATGCCAGAATAGTCTGAAATTGATGTCTACCATTCATCCTATTTGGTGTACTGTAGTACTGTGAACATCAAAATACTGTGTCAACTGAAGGTTTTTGTACTTTCAAAAAGGAAAGTTCCATCACAGACAGTTGATAATGAGGTGTCTGCCTAGCAATGTCAACTTTCTATGAGAATCCGTTGATTGGGCAAGAAACAAGTGTCCATTGTCCATATTAACGGGTTTCTGTATTAAGTGGGTTGATTTTTGTCCCCAGGGACAAAGAAAAGTGTCTGTAATAACGAGGTGTCTGTTTTAATTGGGTTTTCATAAAGTGGAGTTAGACTGTATTTGCTCCATACAAACAGGGTTTGTACAGAGTCTTGAATTCTAGAAAGTCTTGAAATTTGCCCCGTCATTTTCCAGGCCTGGAAAAAGTCTGGAAAATGGAGATAAAGTCTGGAAACAGTAAAAAGTCTTGATTTCTTTTTTCAAAGCTACAGCAAGTGCGTTATAAGTAGAATCTTTTTAGTTTTAGTCAAATCTTATTCAATCTCGTCTGTATGTTTGCAGCACATCATGAAAAAAGTTTTGTTCCTGTGTTTTTTTAAAGGTCTCTATTGACCACCTAATTTGATAACCTTGAGTCTGGAAATAGGAAGTATTGTTTTGGAAAAAGTCTTGGATTTTGGATCCAAAAACCTTTACGAACCCTGTACAAACAAGCTTGTCCCCCTTGCTGTTGCAACATATAAAAACTGCAAAGGCTGTGTGTACTTTACCCACACTTTGTAAATGCAGTTTTGCTACTGGCCACTTTCCTTAGCCCCACTCCCTTAGTACAAATAACCTGTAACTTCCCCTCCCCACCCCTTGCACTTTCAAAAGGCATATGAAAGTGCTACTTTATAGATAGCTTCAGATGAAAACATTCTCAGTATGTCTCTGTGTAAAACTTTGCTATGTTCTTCAGTTCCTCGTCTACTTCACGCAATGCTTGCCCAGTGGTGTCATGTAACAGCTGACATGCGGAATCTACAGACACCCATCTGTACTCCTGGTGCTCTTGAGAGAGCTGTATGGGCGTATTGTAATCCCTTAATTCAGCAAGCCAGTAAATTACAATCTTTGGCTTTCCTCGCACCTCGTAATTCAATGTTTTTCGTACATCTTTCACGACGTTCAAACTGCTTTCTTTCAGTCCTGATTCTTCTTCAGTTTCTCGAAGAGCTGTCTGTATATCCGACTCTCCGGGATCGACATGACCTTTAGGTGGTGTCCAGTGATGTCTTCCGTAAGATGTTTGTAGAAGAAGGTATTCGAAAGGTCCTGTAAAGCGTTTCCGGCGAAATACGATTAATCCCGCTGCTCGAAGCTCCGCGGCCGCCATCTTGGTTTTTAGGTAGGTACGTTATGTATGGGGAATTATAATGTACCGGGTAAATGTTGTCCAGATATGGAGCGGCCGGCCTGCCTCTGGGGCCATCAGGGCGGATAAAGGTAGGGCGATGAAACGAGCGCGTCCGAGCAAAAAGGTGTGATGCAGTGGACTGGGGTCAAATTCTGAGTTGCCGATCAAAATGGCGGCAAGTACGGAATATGATATTGATTTTGAAGAATTGGAGAGGTTATTCATTGATGATACGACAGACGAGCAGTTCAGTTTTGACGAGATTGAGGCAATTTCTGAGCCGTCACGAAATTTTCGCCGGCCTTCAAGCGCACCGGAAGCGCGGAAAGAGCGCTCGTGCCAGTCCTACTCCGCATCACACATTAAATGAAGAGCGGAGCGCTCGTTTCATCGCCCAACCTTTATCCGCCCTGGGGGCCATAGTCTCCCTCGCAGCCGTTTTTAGTATCGATACTAAAAACGGCTGCGAGGGAGACTACTGGGGCCAGGGTGCGGGCAACCTTGAGTGCTTGAGTGGCTCATCTCTGGTATAATATAATTTATTACTCACAGCTGACGTAAAACAAAGAAAACCAAAACATCCTTAACAATGAACCTAGCCCTGACCATAGTCCATAAAACAAAAGAAAACGAATAAATTATATTACAGCGGGGATGACCCTTGAGTGCCTTATTTACTCTGTAAAGGCAACTGTAACTCTGTAAGCAGGGGGAAACTGGCAGATGATAAACAGGCTATTAAAAGTTGTGAATTAACCTTCAGAATTCGAAACTGGTTCTTGCTTATTATTTTTTTAGTAATCATATATTTTGACACATTTCTCCAAACGTTACGGTAAAACGGGCCTCAAAAACGTGCACTTTGTTTTGCACTTTGCTGCAAAACAAGTTGAATAACCGGATGTTGCACATATTAACACCGATGCATGCATCAAACCTGTCTTGCAATAAACAGGTTGTTGCAGGTCAGGGGCAGATCTAGGGGGAGGGTGCAGGGGGTGCGCCCCCCCCACCCCCGAGATGACCTGCGGTTTTCTAATACAACTGGTATTCTGCAAAAAAAAACTACGTGGTTTATTGGTGTTGAAGTAGAGCAAGAGAAGAGTGCACCCCCTCCTAAAAAAATCCTGGATCAGCCCCTGCAGGTTGCGAAAAGTTGTTACAGAAAGTAGATGGAGTATAGTTCTACTTTTTGCGACAAAATTTTACATGATGCGCGTTCTACCTGCCCAATGCAAACTTGTGTCATTGTCTGACGAGGTCAGATCATGTTACAGTGCTCAAATCGTGCTGAACTACGACGACGACCACAAGGACAACTTCAAAAAACAATAGGTTTAATGATCAAAACAATAGCTCTGCACGTGCATCACGTTCTTTAGGACCTTTAGTATATTTCTTTGACGTCCAGTGCACGACTACGACTTGAAACCTCCTAATTTGACCTTTTAGGAGAACATGGACATAAGACGACGAAATTTCCTTCCTCTTTTTGAACCTGAATAAAATCCTTTAGAATTCAACTCCAGGAAAAGTCGCCTGCATTTGACATATTGAGCGGGTCCAAATAGACGCGATTAAGTTGAAGGAAAGCAAATTTATCTTTTTGGCGACTTTTGTACTGCCGTCGCCGTCGTCGTTGCTTAAAGTCCCTAATATTTATACTTTATTGAAAACTTCAACCCGTTTTAGTTCATATAATTTATGTAAGTTTTAATTGCCATAAAAACTATTTCCCATACAGATTCTCATATTACGCTGGGCCAGGTGCCCATAAGCGGAAGCGAGCAACTTCCACGCGCTCGTATCACGGTGTTTTCACGGACCAGTTTATTTTTAGAACGCTTTTGGCGCGAATTTTGAATATCTTTTAAATTCCACAAACCAGTCAGCAAAACCTACAGACCTAAAAATGATATTTCATGCCTTTTAATAACGTTTAGTTTTCCCTTTTGATATCTTATACTTCGAATTCGCTCATAGACATGGTGGAGATTCAGGAAAAAGTGCCCTAAAATGTGTCTAAAAATAAACTGGTCCGTAAAAACGCCTAGTATGGGAGTTGCTCGCTCCGAGTTATGGGCTCCTGGCTGGGCCACCTGTGCTTCCAGGTCTTAACTTCGCCCCCAGGGGGTCCTCCCCTCCCTATAATGGCCTATACGGGGAGGCTCCGCCCGAAAGGGGTACCTTTTTCAGGCTTCAGGTATATGAAAGGGAAGCGGGATTTCACTAGGTGAATCATATGAAAGGGTAGGGAAATCTGTCATTTCGGACAGTAAAAAGGCTCAAAAGGGCTAACAGATACATTTTATAGTTAAGAAAAAGTCGAGAAAACTGTCTGGTTTTGTGATTTATTCGTATTTTAAAGATACTGCATTGAAGTGATGCAAAGTTCTAAACTAGGTATGTGAAATTGGTCCCATTTGTCGATAGAGTTTATACAAAAGGGGTACCTTTCCTGTCCAAACGTTCTTGAGTACCCCCCCCCCCCGTACTTCACCTCTGCCCAACAATCAGAACAATGAAAACTGGAAGAACATATATGATATTGCTTTGTCATCATCACCACAATAGAATAATCATTATAATAGTGTTATACTTCGCTCCAGCACCTTTATTTGTTTACGAAATCTTTTGTCAATTGATTTAATTTCAGGTCGGCAACCTTTAAACAAGAAGTTTCTTAAAAAGCCATTATCTTTTATTCTGCCGCAAGACCAAGAAATGCATTTATAAATTACGTCGAGTGCCTTGAATTTTATTCGCTTGAAGAAGCTCTAGTAGCTAATTTGAACCTCAAAAGACCACTGAACTGACCGCTCAATGAACGACACTCGCTAACGCGGATTCAACTCTAAACACCATATCAGTTGCGGTTGAAATAGTTAATGTCTACGGAATGAGGTGGCAAGGGCATTTAAAACGATCCACAATTCTTATCCAAAAAATATGCTAGTGCCGGAATGGTTGCGAAATTAGGAGTGTTCTTGTGGTAGCATACGAAAGCTTGAGGAATTCAAAGAAACTTGTGCCTTGAGGTGTTGCGCAAACTGAACACAGATGGGATCAATAGACTCGAAGAAAAAAAACAACTCAGCTATAGAAGCTGGCACAGACGAGATACCACCTACCATTCTGCCGCTAAACAGAGAGGTTCGTGTTCATTTGGTGCCCAAGTTTTACAAGTCAGAAGAGAAAGGATTCGCAAGAACATACTGTTTGTTTACCACGCTTCAGGAACAGGAAGAAAAGGATTTAGGCGAGGGCGATTCGACTGTTAAACGCCACCGGGATTTTAAGGCGAGGGTTGAATTTCACGAGCAAAGACTTGGGAGTTTTTCTTCTGGACACGGTTCATCTTTCTTGGACCGCAGTGACTTCTTTTCGCCTCTGAGTCGTTTGCGATCTCGTTCGCTGACCATCCACTCTACCGAAGTCAAGGTGCAGAAAGTTTCAGTGAAGGAGAACGATTCTATCAGAATTATTGGAGTTTTCGAGAGGCATTTAGAGAGTTTTGACAAGTTGACTGATGGGGATACATTTGAACTGATACTTTGTCCTAGTTCTAAAATAAGGAGCGAATGTTCAGACTGGTCGTTGCTGGGAACATTGTATACTAAACAAGCGAACTCAAAACATGTGCGTCACTGGCGAGCGGCTGTTCGAGCAGATTACACCTAAGTTTGTTTTCTTTCGGTTAAAATGCAATCTCATCAGCGTAACCTTCACTATACACTGTCCAATTACACTGCAATTACTAAGAAATAAATCTAATGCTTCTCTCTTACTAATGTAAGATATTTTTCAATCAGTTTAGGTCGTTTAGTTAGTTGGAAAATAAAAACGCAGGGTTGTACTCCGCGTTCTTCAGTCATCTATCATATCATTATTTAAAGCAAAAAGAATTAGTAGTTCTTCGATTGTATTACCATTCAGCTTTTACGATCACTTGTTATGTATCCAAGAAACAGTAAGAGTTTTTCGACTTGTTCAGTCTTTGACTGCGATAACAATCCAATCCAGTCTATATAGTACATATCACAGATATCTTAGTTTGAAATAAAAAATCAGGTTGTGCGTGCGAAGGATATCAAAGGAGGCATTTAAATTTTAAAGCCATCACTTGTTCGATCCTGATACAACGAACTGGCGCAGTTAAATCAGTTGTAGAACTGTCGAGGATCTTCAGCGACTCTAATACCGATAACTAAATTCAATACCTAACCACTTAATTCGCCGTCCGATTTGTAAATAACGATTAAGCTAATTACTATAAAAGTTCGAAAAAAAAAATTATTAAAGGATTTCCTTTGAGATGAATGCTGCCCTATTATGATGAGGCTTTAGTTGAAATAAAGCTGCAAATTCATAATTGTCCGCCCTTGTCTGGTCTCTTAAACATATGAGAACCCGACTGTTTCAGTAATCGCCGCCGGAAAACAATGAATGAATAAATAAACTAAATCCCTCATACAAAATGCTGCAAAATGTGAAGTCGATATAAGGACAGACTGACAGAAAAGGCTTATACTTGTTTACTTTCTGCCATGGATAGCGAGTGACGCCGTCCAAAAATAAAATTGTTAAACGCCAAAAAGAAAACCGGCTCTAATGTTAAAACGCAAGGATCAATTTCGACTAGTTTTGTACAAAGAGAGCCCTGGAAAAACAGAGCTTTATTATTTATTTTTAAGCTCAATCGTTGCTAGGTAGCTGTTGTTATCAAGCTTAAATATATCTGACCCCCATCTGATTTCGGAAACACTTGATTTAAAACAAAACTTAACAAGTGAAAAAAAGTTCGACAGCTGGTTTTGATCAAATTTGTCTTGTTTGCAATAAGATTAAATGGGGAAGAGGATAATAAAGTGATCGAAAAATTACTTTCATCATCTTAGTTGATAAGGTCAGTTGCCTGTAAAGGAATTCAGTCATACGTTTTCAGCTAAAATCATTCCAATCTTTTACAAACAATTTGTAGCAAGACTTCTTAGACTTACATGTAAACTTCCAAGAAAAATTCTAAGTCTCACTTTGTAAAATTATATCAGAAAACCCGGCAATAGAGCTTAGACTGTAAAACAGCCTGATATATATGCGTTGGTCGGTAATGCAAGCAACCGTCAAACGAAAGGTTCGAGTAAACCACAGTAGGGTGTAAGGAAAGTCAGTTTTACAGCTTGCCATTCGGGCAAACTGTAACTGGCATGTACTAGCCCAAAATTCATTTCAACTAGCCCCAAAAACCTTTTCACTTTGATAAGCAGGATTGATAACACAGTTCTTACGTAATTTGAATTCCTTAAAACTTCACTTAACTTGCCCGTCGGGCAAGTTAAGAACAGAATTCACTAGCGCGATAGCAAAATCCATTAGCCCCGGGCTATCAGACACTACTTTCTTTGCACGCTTTAGACATGGTGGAGATTCAGGAAAAAGTGCCCTAAAATGTGTCTAAAAATAAACTGGTCCGTAAAAACGCCTAGTATGGGAGTTGCTCGCTCCGAGTTATGGGCTCCTGGCTGGGCCACCTGTGCTTCCAGGTCTTAACTTCGCCCCCAGGGGGTCCTCCCCTCCCTATAATGGCCTATACGGGGAGGCTCCGCCCGAAAGGGGTACCTTTTTCAGGCTTCAGGTATATGAAAGGGAAGCGGGATTTCACTAGGTGAATCATATGAAAGGGTAGGGAAATCTGTCATTTCGGACAGTAAAAAGGCTCAAAAGGGCTAACAGATACATTTTATAGTTAAGAAAAAGTCGAGAAAACTGTCTGGTTTTGTGATTTATTCGTATTTTAAAGATACTGCATTGAAGTGATGCAAAGTTCTAAACTAGGTATGTGAAATTGGTCCCATTTGTCGATAGAGTTTATACAAAAGGGGTACCTTTCCTGTCCAAACGTTCTTGAGTACCCCCCCCCCCCGTACTTCACCTCTGCCCAACAATCAGAACAATGAAAACTGGAAGAACATATATGATATTGCTTTGTCATCATCACCACAATAGAATAATCATTATAATAGTGTTATACTTCGCTCCAGCACCTTTATTTGTTTACGAAATCTTTTGTCAATTGATTTAATTTCAGGTCGGCAACCTTTAAACAAGAAGTTTCTTAAAAAGCCATTATCTTTTATTCTGCCGCAAGACCAAGAAATGCATTTATAAATTACGTCGAGTGCCTTGAATTTTATTCGCTTGAAGAAGCTCTAGTAGCTAATTTGAACCTCAAAAGACCACTGAACTGACCGCTCAATGAACGACACTCGCTAACGCGGATTCAACTCTAAACACCATATCAGTTGCGGTTGAAATAGTTAATGTCTACGGAATGAGGTGGCAAGGGCATTTAAAACGATCCACAATTCTTATCCAAAAAATATGCTAGTGCCGGAATGGTTGCGAAATTAGGAGTGTTCTTGTGGTAGCATACGAAAGCTTGAGGAATTCAAAGAAACTTGTGCCTTGAGGTGTTGCGCAAACTGAACACAGATGGGATCAATAGACTCGAAGAAAAAAAACAACTCAGCTATAGAAGCTGGCACAGACGAGATACCACCTACCATTCTGCCGCTAAACAGAGAGGTTCGTGTTCATTTGGTGCCCAAGTTTTACAAGTCAGAAGAGAAAGGATTCGCAAGAACATACTGTTTGTTTACCACGCTTCAGGAACAGGAAGAAAAGGATTTAGGCGAGGGCGATTCGACTGTTAAACGCCACCGGGATTTTAAGGCGAGGGTTGAATTTCACGAGCAAAGACTTGGGAGTTTTTCTTCTGGACACGGTTCATCTTTCTTGGACCGCAGTGACTTCTTTTCGCCTCTGAGTCGTTTGCGATCTCGTTCGCTGACCATCCACTCTACCGAAGTCAAGGTGCAGAAAGTTTCAGTGAAGGAGAACGATTCTATCAGAATTATTGGAGTTTTCGAGAGGCATTTAGAGAGTTTTGACAAGTTGACTGATGGGGATACATTTGAACTGATACTTTGTCCTAGTTCTAAAATAAGGAGCGAATGTTCAGACTGGTCGTTGCTGGGAACATTGTATACTAAACAAGCGAACTCAAAACATGTGCGTCACTGGCGAGCGGCTGTTCGAGCAGATTACACCTAAGTTTGTTTTCTTTCGGTTAAAATGCAATCTCATCAGCGTAACCTTCACTATACACTGTCCAATTACACTGCAATTACTAAGAAATAAATCTAATGCTTCTCTCTTACTAATGTAAGATATTTTTCAATCAGTTTAGGTCGTTTAGTTAGTTGGAAAATAAAAACGCAGGGTTGTACTCCGCGTTCTTCAGTCATCTATCATATCATTATTTAAAGCAAAAAGAATTAGTAGTTCTTCGATTGTATTACCATTCAGCTTTTACGATCACTTGTTATGTATCCAAGAAACAGTAAGAGTTTTTCGACTTGTTCAGTCTTTGACTGCGATAACAATCCAATCCAGTCTATATAGTACATATCACAGATATCTTAGTTTGAAATAAAAAATCAGGTTGTGCGTGCGAAGGATATCAAAGGAGGCATTTAAATTTTAAAGCCATCACTTGTTCGATCCTGATACAACGAACTGGCGCAGTTAAATCAGTTGTAGAACTGTCGAGGATCTTCAGCGACTCTAATACCGATAACTAAATTCAATACCTAACCACTTAATTCGCCGTCCGATTTGTAAATAACGATTAAGCTAATTACTATAAAAGTTCGAAAAAAAAAATTATTAAAGGATTTCCTTTGAGATGAATGCTGCCCTATTATGATGAGGCTTTAGTTGAAATAAAGCTGCAAATTCATAATTGTCCGCCCTTGTCTGGTCTCTTAAACATATGAGAACCCGACTGTTTCAGTAATCGCCGCCGGAAAACAATGAATGAATAAATAAACTAAATCCCTCATACAAAATGCTGCAAAATGTGAAGTCGATATAAGGACAGACTGACAGAAAAGGCTTATACTTGTTTACTTTCTGCCATGGATAGCGAGTGACGCCGTCCAAAAATAAAATTGTTAAACGCCAAAAAGAAAACCGGCTCTAATGTTAAAACGCAAGGATCAATTTCGACTAGTTTTGTACAAAGAGAGCCCTGGAAAAACAGAGCTTTATTATTTATTTTTAAGCTCAATCGTTGCTAGGTAGCTGTTGTTATCAAGCTTAAATATATCTGACCCCCATCTGATTTCGGAAACACTTGATTTAAAACAAAACTTAACAAGTGAAAAAAAGTTCGACAGCTGGTTTTGATCAAATTTGTCTTGTTTGCAATAAGATTAAATGGGGAAGAGGATAATAAAGTGATCGAAAAATTACTTTCATCATCTTAGTTGATAAGGTCAGTTGCCTGTAAAGGAATTCAGTCATACGTTTTCAGCTAAAATCATTCCAATCTTTTACAAACAATTTGTAGCAAGACTTCTTAGACTTACATGTAAACTTCCAAGAAAAATTCTAAGTCTCACTTTGTAAAATTATATCAGAAAACCCGGCAATAGAGCTTAGACTGTAAAACAGCCTGATATATATGCGTTGGTCGGTAATGCAAGCAACCGTCAAACGAAAGGTTCGAGTAAACCACAGTAGGGTGTAAGGAAAGTCAGTTTTACAGCTTGCCATTCGGGCAAACTGTAACTGGCATGTACTAGCCCAAAATTCATTTCAACTAGCCCCAAAAACCTTTTCACTTTGATAAGCAGGATTGATAACACAGTTCTTACGTAATTTGAATTCCTTAAAACTTCACTTAACTTGCCCGTCGGGCAAGTTAAGAACAGAATTCACTAGCGCGATAGCAAAATCCATTAGCCCCGGGCTATCAGACACTACTTTCTTTGCACGCTGCACAGAATCCAAAGTTAGAGCCTGTTGCGTAGTAAATAGTACCATGTGAAAGTGCTGGTAAAGAATTTTGCTTTGAAAGGTCACAGCACAGGATTTCATCCCGGCACAGACTCAAAAGATGGAATTACTTTTCATGTCACCTTAGAGGGCTCTGGGAATAAAAGTGTTATAAAGTCCTACGTGAATAATTAAAATGGAAAACAAAAACAAACAAACCCAGCTGTTTTTTAGAGAATTCGTTTTCTTTCTTTTTCTTTCGATAATTTAACTTCGACTACTTACTTGAAGTTCGAACACTTCTGCAAAAAGGCACACGGACAAACCATCTAAGATTACAAGTGGCTCCTATGCGTTGAATCCTTGCAATACCGGTATGCACTACAGACACCAAGATTTTTGTTCTTGTTTCACTTTTTTCTCTTCACAAAACTTTACCTGCAGATAGGTATGATGATACAAAAATATAATACTGAATCATCTCGTCACGAAGGTGTGGTCCTGACAACCTTCCGTTCACGGCGATCTTACATTAGTTTGGAAGGCAAATACCTAGGACCAAAACAATGTGTCATCGCACTCAACAATAGAACGCCATTGCAATTCACAGTTCACAGAGAGATACGTCTCGTAATGTTCGCTTCAATGTTTCTTGGAGGCCTTGGTTGCCACTATTTTCACTTCCACTAGAAAGCGTGATCATCACTTCTTTGTGGCACTTGCCCTTAAATGAAGTTTTACAAATCGTCACCTTGCCGCTGGATGCTTTCTACAGGCCACAGCTGAATGTGGTGAAGAAAAGCACTGAATTTTTTGCACCAACATGGTACTGTACTTATTGTTCCTGTTTCTACCCCTTGTCAATGATCGCTGTCGCCCATAAATCCGATGAAGGCTCTACCGGAGTCACAAATCCATCAGGGATACGGGAGGCGCCAGGGAAAGTATCGTGGACCAAGAAAGCGTCCCATTGCCGCCTAGAGGAAGGAAATCATTCGTCACTTTTAAAACACGCTTTATGTATTCGAATAAAACAAAACAAAAACAAAAATTTACACGTAAGACTCGCAAGCCAGTTTCTTCTATCAACACTGTCAACAACATGTATGGTACGGCATCCTGCCTACAATTCCATCACTGAATTCATGATTACTTACAGATTAAACTTTCTAGCACTTTCCCTAGCTAAGTCATCTAACATTATAATGTTGGCGTTATTTATTTTTTCGAAAACTTTAAAAATGACGGACAAATATTTAACAATTATTCCCCGAGCCCGAATGGGCCCTGAGTAAATAGCCCATTCGGCCTTCGGAGGCCATGAGGGAGAGAGGAATAATTGTTTTAGTTAAGTCCAACAGTTGGTCAAACATATCGAGAATAAAAAACTTTTAGCTAGTTAAAGCTAGACTTTAATCCTTTTTTGCCGCCAAAAAGCCCGCGGTTTCGCTACTAGTGGGCTATAACATATAGCCTTGTAGTAGCTCAACCAATCAGAACGCAGCATTGATAATAGACCACTAGTTGGACTTTACTAAAGCAAGATGGCTTTTGTGGCAATTTTTTTTCTAAATTTTTACCACGAAAGAATAGGCTGGAAATACGAGGTTGACAGAAAGCAAAACAGGAGAATAAACTAAAGCAGGAAATAAAAGTACATATAAACCTACGGACAGTTAAGCCGTTGCCGGTTGTGGGCAAACTAGGTCGAACACTGGTTTGACTTGAGAAATTATTTTATCTACAACATATAAAGGTACATTTTTCGTGGCGGTACCTTATTTGCAGCAAGGACTGTACACTGTGTTCGCCTTGTTTGTAATAGCTGCGAAACCAGTCCATTGGGTCAGACAATCCTAGAGATGCTGGACGAAAGAAAGAGAACAAGAAAGTGTAAATTGTAAGCGAGAAAAAATATTTTGACAAGTAATGCTTAAAGCCCTGATTTCCGGCGCCTCGGATAATTCTCAATGAGATACGGGCAACCGTTTATAGCTACGTAAGCGAGCAAACTATACATGTTGATGGTTGAAATTGTCGATCTCAATAGGCCACTTGCACTAAGAGGTCACGTGACCAATGCTTCCTTTAAACAATGAGTTGGAATCTTGCTGATGCCAAAAATTGTTAGAGCTCACAAAAATTATGTTACACCCGAAATTTGAGAGGAAACGCATTTAAGGGAGATATTTTGTGGCACTTTGATTTTTCAGCAAAGTAGTATGATTTGTATCGGCCGCCATGTTGGAGGGCATGCTCTTGCACTCCAACATGGCGGCCAAAACTACTTCTTGCTTATATCTTGTTCAACCTTTCATAGTTACGTTCAAATGTGCTGTAAACGTTATCACATCATCTTTTCAACATTTTCCTTGAAGTTTAAGTGCAAAATTTGTGTTCAGAGAGAGGTAATTTATAATTTTAAAAATCACATTTTGGTCACGTGACCATTTACGAACTTATTTATTTTAAGAAAATGGTACGGGTTTGAAAAACCAAATCACCATTATTTTGTTTAAGATATGACCCACTAATCGTTTTTCGAAGGCAAAATCATATAACTTTCATTTTCATAAAAACGGTGTCACATGCCTCTAAGTGCAAATGGCCTATTAGTGTGCAGCTGCAGCCTTTAATGACAGAAGTGACAATTATAAATCGGTAGCTTAAGCAACAACGACGATAACGTCACTTGAAAAGTGAATTCACTCTGATTGAAACTTTATCGCGCTTATTCCATCTCGATCGATTCGTCAAATGTTGGCAATTTTTTCTGGAGTTGAATTTTAAGGAACTGTAGCGCAGTTCAGGAAAAGAAAAAGAAAGTCTTTGTCTTGTCTTCACGTCAACCACAAAACGTGAGTTTAGGGATTTGCACGTCGTAGTCGTGCAGTGACGGCAAGGAAATGTACAAAAAAATTGCAGAGTTGTTATTTTGCTAATCTATAACTATTGGTTTTTTTTGCCGTTCTCCGATGATTTCGCCTAATGATAGATCAGGTCGACCTTCACTTCGGTTTTGATCGGTTCATTTACAGTTTGCAAGTCTACAAAGTAATGCTAACTTGTGAAAGTGAAATGATTAGCATGTCACGAGCGTGGGACAAAGAAAAAATCTGAAACCCTGACAGGATTCGAACCTATGACCTCCCTCTCTTTCTCTTCGAATCCTGACGGGGACTCAGATTTTTTCTTTATCCCACCCTCGTGTCGCCCCATGTAAGGGAATCCGGATTCCGGAATCCAGCAATTTTTTGCTCGTGGAATCCGGAATCCTGGGCTTTGGAATCCGGAATCCAGCACTAGGAATCCGGAATCCTACTAAAGATTGGAATCCAGAATCCAACTTACTAAAGATTCACTCCAGATTGGATTGAGCTACTTGCTCGAAAGAAAAACCATCTATGGAAAGCCTTCCCAGGGTATATGCGTCAACGTGATGACATACAGTGTAATATCGGCATATCTGGTGTCAAAACCATACTTCACGAGCTCCATATGAAAGGTCAAGGTCACGGTCAGCGAGGGAACCCTTTCTTATGAGCGGCTGGCAGGATCACAAAATTCGGGGGTTTTCGAGGGAATACAGCGCAGCCTTTTTAAAGGTATAAATTGGATTGTTGTGAATAGCTTCAACCTCTGGCTATGTTTGATTCTCTGTTGTTTACTCGCTTAGATGACCTTAAAAAATCAAAAGCGATTTGACCTGGCATAGGACCGGAAAAGATGCACCTGGGGTGAAACTTTTCTTGAACGTTCCTGGTCCTCCTGGTTCGTCCACTTTCAACACTTTACCAAAAAAGAAAAAAACTGATTCAAAGTCTCCTAGTCGCTTATTTGGTCCTAGTAGTTTCGGTGAGAACGGTTTCATGGTTTCGATAATCTTTATTTGAGAAATAAGCTAGGTACTGTCAGAACCGTACCAATCAGCTGTCACTAAAGTAATCACGTGCAAGGACGCGGTGGGTGTCTTTTTCATTCACCCCGGCATTCGAGTGAAATCTCGCCACCTCATCGATGAGACGAGTTTGAAGTTTGTTGTCTGTTGGCTTTTTCTTTTCTACGTTATTAAAAAAAAAGGTTATGGGAAAGCACAAGCAAAACAAAAGGCTGAGAGAGAAAGGTACGTGTTATTACTGTGTTGTGAAATTTTATACCAATTTTTAGCTGACTGATAGATCTAAACGTGCCAAAGGCAAAGCTGCATGATTTTTCGTTTGTGTTGATCTGTGGACTGTAACGTGGCGGTAAGCAAGTCACAAACATGAACGAAAGATTGATTTTTTTTTCTCAATCATAATTGAATGTGATATGAAGTTTACATCGTCCGTGGAGAAAATATCGTATAAATGAGCGCTATATGGTTGTAAAACGCTAAAAACGAGCCAACGCGTCAGAAACGCTCAAGTCTCTCTTGATCTCTCAGTCATCTCAGACTCGGTTGAGGAACAGACGGATTTTTCATGTTTTCTTTCTCCAGTTGTGCCCCTGAATAGGCCTCGTTCACATTGAGGTCGCTTTTGCAAATTAGACCGATCTGAGATCAGTTTAGCCCGTTACTTTTTTTTGTTTGAAATGGATCCTAGAGACCCTAGACCATCTCAGAGACCCAGATCTCTTATTGACGAAGCCGAAGGCGAGATCTGGTCAAATCCGATTATTGCCTATCAGGAATGTGACAGGCGATGAAAGAGTGCATGCTCGAAATAAATCCTCAATTTTCGACGTGTTAAACAACGAATTTGATAGAGCCGTGAAATTTTTTTCTAGCAAAACGTGGTTATACGCACATCTTAAGTATGAACCAACTAATTGTTTGTTGTTTTTGTTCTTTTTAACATCAAATTCAACGTGACAGTTAAATTTCATTATCACTGTGCTCGCTAAAACCTCAAAGCAGTACGCGTCAACTTCTACGCGAGAAGTTTTTACCCTCTTCAAAAGTCTTCATTGACACGGAGAGAGTTTTAAAAAGTCTTAAAAGATAAGATAAAAATGGTTTTCCTAGTTTTAATGAGACGGAAAACTACTCTTTAGTGAACAGAGCCAAAGACTTTGCAAAGAATGAATTGCACACGCCACAGCGTATTTTTATTTGGCCAGTTACTAATAAAACGAGAAACCAGGCAAAAAGAGCCAAAACGACCTAAATGATCCACAACGATCAAAACTAATAGACAAAAGACCCACAACGACCCAAACAAGTTCCACCCTCCTAGGAACGTCGGTTAAAATTGATTAAATAATAAATATTTCACTGCTTTTTCATACCCGGAGCGAAGGATGATGAGTGGTCTTTTTATACAAAAAGACTTCAAAACAAAAGGATAACAGGCGAAATCTGGGCGTTGCATGCATTTTTCTATCAGCATGGCTGAAAACAGAGTTCACAAAAGTAGACTAAGTGAAAAATAGAGTCCTGAGGTCAGTCTCAATCTCTACTAATCACTAACCAGCTCCGAGATCCTCCACCCCCATTTACATGGAGATTTGGATTAGATTAATCGTAGGACAAAGCTTTAAATTGCGATGTCGGTGTTTCGCTACGTCTTTTTTGCGGTAATGCGGTGTTTGTTATTTTTTTCTGCCGTGTTGCGATGTAGACAGTCCCCCAATGTCTTCCTCATTATTATGCCATAAACCCTTGCGGAACTGTAATACATTTCTTCCCGTAATTTTGTAAATCGAAAAAGAAAACAAACTTGTTATGCCTTCTAACAACGTCTTTCAATATAGCAAGATTCGAACACGAAAACGAAGTGCGAAGAAAAGCATTAAAACCGGAAAAAAAAATGGAATCCAGCTCTTTTTGGAATCCGGAATCCACTGTGCTGGAATCCGGAATCCAGTACCCGGAATCCGGAATCCACAGCATGGAATCCAGAATCCAAGACTGTCCTGGATTCCCTTACATGGGGCGACTCGTGACATGCTAATCATTTCACTTTCACATTTGTTTCCCCGAGCTTAACATTTGCCATCTTTCATTCTTCACTTAATGCTAACTTGTGACCATTTTTTTTTAATCTCCTCCACCGAAGTAACATTTTTTGTCTGTATCTTCGTCCGTCCTTTTACATCAGTCAAGGACTGTTGACTTCCGTTTTTTTAATTCTGGAATCTGTGTATTCCAAGGAAGGTACAGAAATACGTAGGTAAATAATATCAATATACACACGCCTACTAAAGCTAGAAGGACCAGTACCTTGATTTTTTCTTTCATTTTCCCGTCTTTCTTTCTCTTTCTCTTCCTCCTCCTCAGCTAGCATGACTCGCAGTGTCTTTTCTTCCGCCTCGTATAATTCTCGTCTTGGGGCCATCACATTCTCCAGCCATTTCACTCTTTCATCAAACTTGCGATTTTCTTCTTCAGTAGGCTTGACATAAACGCCTAGATCAAACGAAAAAAAGCGAGAGAATGCGTTTAAATAGAGACTGGCCGCGACATTCGTCCTTCCTGAAAAATAGCAGCTGAACTTTCTCTAAAAGAATGCTTCACAATGAGCTTCAAAGTGAACTTGTCTTTATGGCCTGCCTGTTTTCTTTTTAGTTTTGGTATCTCAAAAAGCAAAGCAAACTTTCCAAACGGACACGCTTTCGCCCAGAAAATTGTTTCGGGCTTCTCCTTTGATAATCGCCCTACAAGAAAGGCCAAATAATGCTTGGAGATTGGTTTCTGATGATGCCACTTCTAGTAGGACGTGAAGTCTCAGCACTTTACTGGCGCATTGTTTTTTTGCGTGATAACGGGTTAAATTAACCTTAAAACTCTCCAACTTAGTTCTTTGCGAAGAGAGAACGAAAACTTCCCACGAATCCTATTCGTGACGCTCCCTCATTCTGAAATGTTGTCAAGACTTGGTGCTACTCGGTAAAACCCGGTCCCAGTTGTTCACAGGGTACTCTGTGGATAGTGGTACCTACTTGATGAATCTCTATCCAGTGTCTAACTCAATTACCTAACACTTGTCCACTGGAAAGCCATTCATCAAGCATTTCTGAACGAAGCATATTCTTATACACTGTTGTACTAATCACCTTTTACTTCAGCTTCTTGTTTTCTGGCCTCCCGTAGCTTTCTCAACGCCTTTAAGAGGTCAAGAGCTTTTGTAGCTTCTGTTTGTTTTCTCTTCACTTCTCCCAATACTCCACCTGCTTCATGTTTCATCAACTCGGCCTATAAATACATTTAGAAAGAAATTAATGCGTATGTGTAGGCTAATATAATGCAGTAGTTCATTAAGTGTATTTTAAGAAAGTATACTTCACATAAGTGTATTTTGTTGTTGCTGTTTTGTTACAAAAAGATGGATTTACACTCAGTGTTTTTTGTTTAAAAGCTCAAGGATAATAGCCAAGCGTGTGAAATACTTTCTCTCTTTCCTCCACTTGTTGCTTCCCCCTTGGCTGGCAATTTTCAAATGTGCTCTTGTAATTTCCTCGCTCTGCTATGCCTGATTGTAATTTTTGAGTCTGAGGATGAAACCTTATGGTGTGACTCTCCATGTGAAACCTCTTTGATGATCCTATCAGATGGTTTACTTTCCTTTTAGCAATGAAATTTAACATCAGGCAGAGGACACCCGACAGACGGGAAGAGAAAGACTATTAAAAATGTGAACAAACATAAACAAGTAACAGTAAATTGATTACTCTTCGTTTGGCTTGATCCTCTGCTATTATTTGTGACCTCCATTCATCAATTTTCTTATGCAGAACCTTCTTTCTGTCCTCAGCTTCCTTTTTCAGCACATGCTCTTCTTTTCTTCTCTTTTTCTGCCATTCCTAAAAAATTACCAACTTATCCTATTAGCAAACAAAGTGAAATTCCAAAGGATTTGAAAAACTATAAATATATGGTAGCCTTCCAAATTAAACCAACTGAGTTCATTTTCATCTCACCCGTTTTTTCTTTCTTTTCACTGCTTGCTGTTCTAGATGATTAATTTCTTCAGAGGAGGAGAACTGAGTTTGAATCTGTTCAATCCTAGCCTACAGAAGAAAAAAAGTTTCTTGATAAGATTTTGTAAAGGTTTTTAAACAAGACAAACATAAACAGGGAATACTGGCCCAATTACTGCAAAAGAAGGATGGTGACTGCTCTAGATGATGATGATGATGATGATGATGATGATGATGACAGCAGTGGTAATGGTGGTGTCAAAATCATTAAACACTATTAACAAAGAAAATTTTATATTATAATCAATGAAGATGAGGGGGTTTTGACTGTGAAAGGGCACAGCAGAATGGCAACTAATTTCTGGTCAGCTGAGAATGCAAGATGGCAATTTTCCTCTAAAACCACCATTACAACTGGACTTCTCTAGATGAACACTTCTCTTTAAGATCTTACATCAACAAATGTACTCTCTGCCACACTGTTCAGTTTTCACATGCCGATGACGGGATAAAATTAAGATGCTTCCTCCTTTAGTGTAGCATTCTTTGTTCTTAAGGCTTTATAATGCTTTATTAAGAAGGGACTATAAGAAGAAATAAGGCTAGATACTATTAGAGGTTCAAGGTTTTATTGAGCTCTTAATTTGCTCTGTTAGATTCTGCCTTATTTAAAATGTCAGATTTTTGCTATCCTTAACCTTTCACAAGCAACTACATTTTCTGGCATCTCTGCAGGAGTTATGATAAAGGGTGGGGAATTATTCCTCAAGGTTTCAATGTATCCTATCAGTTACTGACCTTTAATGTTTGAGCCCTGTTTATTTCTTTTACCCATTCCATTTCATTGTGATGTAAAGCAAGTGCAGCCAATTTATCTCTCTGAAGTGACAACTCTGCAATTAGCTGCAGCCAATCTGTCATGAGCTGTTTAGCTTCATATAACTGCCAAAAAGATAAAAGAACAAAACAATAAGCAGAGACTGTTAATACCTTCTGCAAAAGACACCTTTTTTATAATCCAGGCTTAAGATTTCACAAGCTTTTGCCTCCATCTACTTGTAGGATGCTGGTACTGTCTGGGTGTTATTGGGTCTATTATTAACCCAAATATGACACCTAGGGTCAATTTGATAAAACCTTTGCAAGTGTAATTTAGTCCCAAGGAAATTGTTTTTCACCTGAAGATGAACATATAAACTTGTAAAATCTCAAGATTGAATCCCAGAAAGGTATCTTACACAACCACCATAACAAAGGCTCATTGTTTTGACAATCACTCAATGGTACTGGGTGAATCCAAAGGAGAACATGAGCCAAGATCTTGATAAACCTACTCAGATCACGAAAAGTACATTTGCTACAACCTCACAATCTACACAAAATGCTTCCCAGTCTTTGCCAACATGCAAATGAAAGTTTTCATTTCCTTTGAGGAATCATATATGAAGAAAATGATTCCTTTATCACCCATAAAAGAGGTTTTAAAAGTTAAAAAAGGTAAACCTTTAAATGGCTGTGTGGCTCTGCTTGTTTTTCCTGTTTCACAAGTGCTCTTTCTCTTAAAAACTGATTAATCCACCCTTGGCTTGTTGTCTCTTGTCCTGTAACTCCTGCATTCACCTGAGGTTGATTAGCTGAACATGCGGCCAAAGGCACCGTTGGTACTGACAAATTGCCTGGCAAAGGAGGGGGAAATTGCATGGGTGTTAATGGTGGAGGTACTGTTATGGGCCCTGAAAATGAGGGTGGAAAGGTCTCCGGAAAATGTTGCACAGGTCCCAATGGTCCATGGATGGTAGTTTGAAAAGAATTAGTCTGTGATAGTTGCGGTCCACCAGATGGAAAAGATGAAGACGATTTTGCCATTTGCGAGATATCACTGCTCATTGTTTGACTGTTGCTTTGAAGAAACGGCAATTGTCCAGGAGNCGCCAACATTCAAATGAAAGTTTTCATTTTCTTTGAGGAATCATATGTAAAGAAAATGACTCCTTTATCACCTGTGAAAGAGGTTTTAAAAGTTAAAAAAGGTAAACCTTTAAATGGCTGTGTGGCTCTGCTTGTTTTTCCTGTTTCACAAGTCCTCTTTCTCTTAAAAACTGATTAATCCACCCTTGGCTTGTTGTCTCTTGTGCTGTAACTCCTGCATTCACCTGAGGTTGATTAGCAGAACATGCTGCCAAAGCCACCGTTGGTACTGACAAATTGCCTGGCAAAGGAGGGGGAAATTGCATGGGTGTTAATGGTGGAGGTACTGTTATGGGCCCTGAAAATGAGGGTGGAAAAGTCTCCGGAAAATGTTGCACAGGTCCCAATGGTCCATGGATGGCAGTTTGAAAAGAATTAGTCTGTGATAGTTGCGGTCCACCAGATGGAAAAGATGAAGACGATTTTGCCATTTGCGAGATATCACTGCTCATTGTTTGACTGTTGCTTTGAAGAAACGGCAATTGTCCAGGAGGAGGGAAAGCTAGAGAATTACTAGGACTTGAGTTTGCCAGCTGTCTTTCTGAATTGATAAACTGACCGGATGGTAACGGATGTCTTGTAATCTGCGGTGATTGTATGGCCATTGGATGCTTTTCTTGTTGCAAGTTGATGTGGTTATGAGGGAATCGTGAAGGCAACTGAAGATCAGAATGCATGATATCTCCTCTTGGAATCATTTGTGGAAAATTTCCTCGCACAAAATTCGTTAATGAGTGATTCGATTGTGGTGAAAACGAATTAGGAGGCATTCCTGGATATTTGGGATGAAAATAAGGATTTTCAGTGGGCAAAGACGATAAATTGTGCTGATTATGAGACTGAAAATGTGCTGCTGGAAAGCGTGCACCGTCCGCCATTTTGAATTTCGCCAAAAAGCTAGGCAGCTAAGTCCTTAAAGCCTGGTTACCAATTAAAGAATAACAAAGATGGCGGCCACTTGTTGCTCTGTTGACCTTGGGGAAAAGTTATTCTGCTCTTTAAACCAGGCCTTTATCGTGGATCCTGAAATGTAAGTCAGTGAACTTATGTTTTTCCTCCTCTTTTCTTTCATACTATGAATTTAATGTTTTGAGATGTGGGTAGTTTTTTGAGTGACTTTTGGTAGTATGAAGTTATAAAATTAATGTTCTTTTTCTTTTAAAATTTCATCACTTTATTAACACGTCACTGAACGTGTCTCTACATGTATTCATGCGCTCTTTCTGGGATTTAAAATTATTTTAGCCTTTTATCTTACTGAAACGTGAAAAGAATCATAGCCGACGAAAGGGCCGCCATACTTTGTCATCATTTTTATTATTTTTTATTATTTTTAGGTTTTCACAATAAGTAGCATACCTTTACAATTTTACGTTGATTTTTTATTAATACCACAAAAACACCCAAGGAAGTTACATGGCCAGTGTTCATTAGAGACTCTAAGATACAAAGTCTCCATGTATGAATATGGGTAAATTACCTGTACCCGACTGGCTGTAAATACTGGTAGATTGCTTCTTACCCCAGAGAAACGGTTAGCATTAGATAACATCGGCTGAAGTTAGATTGTTTCTTTCAGTAAAATTACATGAAGAACAACTTAAGTCCAACTTTACTGTGTAATATAAAATGAAATAGAAAAAATCCACTGTAATGCTTTGAACCCGGGTCACTTGCTTTATAGCCTACATCCA